TTAACCCCGACTGACGACTCTTGAGGATGGGGTGGCGCTGGTCCCTGCAAATGAGGCCCCACCGGTCGATCCTCGTCCCCTCCCGGCAGTAAGGGCTTGCCTCTGCCTCAGGAACCCTAGATCAATGCGGGGCGTGCTGGACATAGCTATCTCGAGGGCGTCCTCGGCGTCTAGAGATTGTAGGATTTGGAAGTCCGGCCACGAATTTCGCCCCGAAGTCCCCACCTCGGCGTGCGAAGGAACCAAGTCCTCTCTGACCCCGAGCTCTTCAACTTCACCCTCTACTTCTGCCTTCGAAGTCCGGTCAGGATCTTCCTCCAAATTCTCCTCGCCCTCTTGCTCCACCGCCTGATCGAAAAGTTCAGACCACCGCAAAGGCTCGAAAGGCTGGAGAAGCTGTGAAAACTTTTTATATCCGGGAGTATAATAAAGGAGGATATGGGCAGCCCGACCGAACCCGTCGTCACCAGTAAATCTCCAAACAGTGACTAGGTCGGCAAAGTTCACCAAGGACCGAAGTGGAGGAGCTGTTTCCCGAGGGGAGATGTCTGCACAAACAAAAAGAGGGGAGTGAGTTATGGACTGCTAAAAAAAAATCTCAAGAGCAAAACAATAGACCCGAAGAAGCGGACGTACTTGTCGTTCTCCATTCCAAAGGGCATAACAAGCTGTTGTACTCGGGACCGGCACCCTTCTGCCAAGATCTCTTGAAGATGAGTAGGTCATCCTTGTACCCCTTGTCAGAGTCGGGAAGATGAGTTATGAGGTACATGGATGGGTCCCTGGCTTTAAGGTAGAAGTGTTGTTGAGTCATGACTCTCAAGAGGGAATAGCAAAAAAGGATATCGTTCAGCCCAACATTTACCCCGAGACGCCTATTGAGCTCTAGGACCCCTATAATTATCCTGAAGACATTAAGGCAACACTGCCCGGGGAAGAGGTGGAAATAGGAGAGGAACTGGAGAAGTAGAGGGGGCCAAAGGGAACCTAATTTCGCCTTCTATGATGGCTTTGGTATAAAAGGGCATTGCATCCTCGGTACTGCGGGTACGAGGATGCACAGCCGGGTTATAATCCTCTATGTCTACATACGGGGGGATGTTGTACTTAACCCTAAATCTATTAATTTGCTCACCACCCTTTACTTTATATTTCCCTGACCTCGAAGAACTGGCCTAAGGATTTTTGGGGGCAGGGCGACGACGAGGCATCTCCAAAAAGTGATAAAAAGTGAAGGAGGGTGTTTTTCCCTCAAAGATCCCCAAGGAGGCTTCCCGAGGATCGGTTGCTGAGTGGCAACCGGGGACACTTCCAGTTATCGAAAAACTAAAAGAGACAGAAGGACGAAGAGAGGAAAGATACTAGAACTCACCAGAATGTAAAAAAAGTTTTTTTTCTGGAAAACTTGAAGCAACTCCTTCCAGAATGTTCAGAAGCAAGGATGAGTCTGCTGGCCTTAAGACTTCAGTGAAAAGGTTGGGCAGTTGACAACGGAAGGAAAGAGATCTCTGGTGAAGATTCAGGCAAGGGTTCACTGGAGAAAGTTCAGAATGACGAAATGAGAAAAGAGGAGAGGAAGCCCATTTATATATAGTACCAATCCCATCATTGGGCGCGAAGCACGAAAAGGCGCATTTAATGCGCACGACATCCTAAGCAGAGGAAAACGCCTACAGGCAATGATGAAGCAGTTGGAGTTGTTGTAAAACCCTTCGTCTCCTTACGACGCATGTCCTCGGTGTCAGAAGATCGAAGGCTGGGAGCAGTTGATAGGACATTTCCGAAATACTCCAAGATGAAGACACGTGTCCTCGGTGTCACTAAATCCTTGTTACTGAGATCATGTACCCATCGGTTCACAAGTCCCTCTCCCTCGAGGTACTTGTCATAGNTCCAAGATGAAAACACGTGTCATCGGCATCAGTAAATTCTTATTACTGTAATCACGACACGTACCCGTCGGATCACAAGTCCCTCTTCCCCCGAGGTACTATTCATAGGGATCAATGACACCTAGTACGTTTACATACCGACATGTATCCCTCAGACGGATATGGGGTACATCGGTCCCTACATGTACCACTTTCCTCGGTACTGAGATGTACCGTCCAGGATGGCGTTCTCTGCTCCTGCAGAGGCTATTGATGTACAGGTCACTAGCCTAGGCTAGGCTAGGTTAGCTATCATCACCTCGTTTTACACAATTGGTGTCAGAAGGCACAGGAAGGCAGGGGACACAGCCAATAGGGAATGGACGCGTGACATATTGTGTCACATCAGAGACAGAAAGACCGGATGCCCTTGCTGACACACGACTTGGGAAAGCAAGCATTTAATTACACTATTCCCTTGATGAGACTGCATTTAATGCGGTAAGGCTCGGAAGTGAAAGACAATAAATGTCTCTAAGGCTGGATATTTATTACATCCTCCCCGAGAGGAGCTCATTGAACAGTCGGTAGGCCGATGACATAGCCTTGGTTGCTCGGGATCCCGAGCAGTTAAAAGAGAAGACATTCCTCATAGGAAACCGTGCACACGTTGCCTGTGTCTAATGATCACCTACTAACCACACTGACAGCAATCATAAGTTTTTGAGGTATAAATACTCCTCGCAAAAGGCAAGACGGTATGCAACAAAAAACCTTTGCTATAAATTATACTCAGTGTTTTCTTCTTCCTCTCTCTCAAAAAACTGACTTGATCGTCGGAGGGGATATGCCGGAAAACACTCCGGCGCCCTTCTAACTTGTCTTTCTTTGTTCCAGGAACCTTCTTCAGCCTTACTGGATCGTACATTTGATCCACGAGGGTCTCCCATTACCGTTCTTGGTTACCACCGGATCTCACAGGCTGTTCCAAGCAGCAGGGTTGACCACTCGACTGACTCACTCGAGTTCACCAAGGGAGAGATCTGTTCTCGTGTTTATATTGTGCAAGATCTAGCACGCACAATAGTTGCTTTCAAATTGGAAATATGTTCATTCCTACATTGGACACCTAAGCACTTCACCATAAACACTAAGCAATGAGCCAATGACCCTAAGCCATGATGATATTGGTCTGTAAAAAGAATGAAAGGATGGTTTATGATTGACAAAAATATAATGGGATAGTTTATGGTGAAAATAGTGTATGTGCTTGGTCTTTAAAGTGAGAGGTTTCAGTTTTGGTCCCCTTGAAGTGATGAAAATGGAAGCGAGAGCTTAATTGGATTTGAGTTGCAGAAGTTGTTGTATCCAGTATTGAAAGAAGCTGAAATTCAACTTTACAACTCTGTAGTTTAGATACGTAGTACTTCACCCTTATGTGCGAATATAGACACATTACTCTCATGTCATCTGAATGACTAACACTTAACAGCAATGACAAAATAATCTTAGTAGTCCTATTATGTCAGTGTCTCTCTTTCCTGTCTCTGGACAGAAACCTACCTTTCCCGCTGGAAACCAACACCCGGGGGGGGGGGGGGGGG